TTTATTGGTTTTATGTAATTCCATCAGTGCATGCTTAGTTTGTGGTCCGAATCCGCGGTGGGTCTCCCTCTAAATATTTGCTTTTTACTTGTTAGTAGTAGACTTGACTACCCATGTTGATTTGTTTATATACTACTTTTAGCATCTGGGTTCTTTGAATATGATCTGCCCATCCGAAAAGAATGTAGATCGGAAATTGTAATCTTGTAATTCAGTAGTTCTTAAATGTCACAATATGGATCAGATGGACGAATTTGAAATATCGTGGTTGAAATCTATTATGAGTCCATTAAGTTTAATCCAAGAATCATGGTTTAGACAGCACATTCACCCAACCAGATTTTGAGTTAATTAAGATAATATTAATCTATTGGATCTCAATGAACTAAATAAAACTCGCACACTTTTGTTTTTTTCGGGTAAAGGCCGAAGAGGGCTGAAATCTTTTGAGTTCATCTGGCCCATTAACATTGACCAGCAAAAGCAACGAAGGAGAGACGTTCCACTTGTTGGATCAACAGAAAGTCACTTGGCGAAACGAGGGCAGAACACCTCACCCCCTTTCTTCTTGTTTATATACTAGCCGGGCCCCCTAGAACATTAGTTAAATACATAGTAACAAATGTTTTAGTGCATAATGAATAGAAATATAGGAAAAATATTAAGTATAAAAATAATTAAAATTTGCTGTGAAAAGAAATTTTATATATAAAGTTAACCCCAGTTTATTGTGATTTGGAAAAGAATTTTTAACCAATATTATGTGTACGTAATGATACCAAAAAAGAAAAGAAAGCAAATCCATTATGAGTGCATTATCGGTTTAATAGCAGCATAGTTTTAGTTGTAATTAAATAAAGAGTAGTCATAATGTTTCTAACATTTTAATAATTAGAAAAAATATAGAAAGCCACAAAAACCTGTCACTATCTTCAACATCAATAAAAAAAATACAAACTTGCATATTTTTCTTTCTTTTTTGAGAGAAAGAGCGAGTTAATTTATCCATTTAAATCATGTCTAATAGCATTACAAATAGATGAAAACATTATCTAACCAAATAGTTACAGAATACGTATAGCAAGTTTAAATAAAAACATGAATTGCCATATTTGTAAATCTATATATGCAAACTCAAATCCAACAATTTGTTTGATTGCAAATATGTCTTCTTAATCAAAATAGAATTTTCTAATAATATTTTGTACAGTGACACTCTAAGGTAAAAGCCTCAATACTAACTTTCCACCAAATGCATTCCTTTGAAAACTGCAATTGTTTTAGCTAGTCAAATCGACAAAATATTATTAACTTCTTTAGCCAAATAGTAATCATATGTTCAGTTCTATGCCTAACAATCATTTCAAACTCTAATTACATTATCTATCATTATGGGCAATAGAAAGGGATAAGAGTACAAAGTCATATAAAACCAGTTTAAGTAAAAGATTTTGAAATCTAATTTTGCACTTCTTTTATTTCCAAGCTATCATTTGCTAAAATTAAAACTATGAAAATAAACTACCTATTATGGATACAAGCTAGTCATTCAAAATGTTGAATGAAGAAATATAAAGTATTATCTTCACATTCTAAATTGCTAGCCCCAACAATTATTTTACCCGTCATCCACCTTATCCAGTTTATAAACACTTTTCACAATTAATAAACTTTATATAAATTAAAATATAATTACCTATCTATAAATTAAGAGATTTTGGTTAATTTTTAATTTAATAGGCATCATTTTTTTCTTCCTGATCATCGTTTACCTTAGATTTTTATTTATTAGATTTTTTTCTCCTCTACTGTAGTATTATCACCCTATTATCAAATAACAATTTTAATAAATAAAAAATTAGAATTAGAATGAATCTGCATAATGGTGTTATTTATTTTATGAGGGAAAAATAGTTACAATTCTTTCATTGTTAGCCTAAAAATTCTTCATGTAATCACCACCCGTCTTGTTGTCAGCCTTTTCCAAAAATAAAAAAATCAAAAAATAGTTTCAGAATAAATAAAATATAAAAAACTAAAAAAAATGTTTCTTTAGATTTGGGAAAAAATATTCATAGCATCACATACCTATTTTGGACAGAAAAGAAAGTCAGATGAAGAAGAAATAGGTGAGAAAAGCAATAACCAAAGGTTGCTGATCAAGACGCAAAAAATGGTAAAAAAAATATCAAATAGTATATACCAAAAAGAGACATTAAAAGTAGAAGATCATGAATCATAATTATTTGACTATGGAAGAAAGGAAATATCAAACCCATTCTTGATCTCCAATTATGAAATCATTCATTTAGTTAATTATGGACAAAAATGAAAGAAAATGCATCAATTAATCCAATAGAGAAAAAATAGAATAAATGATTAATTAGGATAATAGGGGAAAAAATGGAGTACAAAGTGGAAACTAAATAACAAACCTGCAGTGTACATGAGAATTTGTTTAATTATCTTTAATAAAAAAGGAGAAAGGAAATAAAGTGAACAAAAGAAAAAACAAAGCAAAATGAAGAAAAGAAAAGGAATAGGTCACGTGTCAAAATGAGAGGGATCCACTTGACAATTATTGAAGTTGCTACAGTAACTCCACTTTCTTCTTATATAATAGATAGATACTAGAGGTACATCGGTTGTGCAACGCACAGCCAGGACCCTCTCGAACATTAGTTAAATACATAGTAACAAATGTTTTAGTACATAATGAATAGAAATATAGGAAAAAAATTAAGTATAAAAACAATTAAAATTTGCTGTGAAAAGAAATTTCATATATAAAGTTAACTCCAATTTATTGTGATTTGGATAAAAGAATTTTTAACCAATATTATGTGTACGTAATGATACCAAAAAAGAAAAGAAGGCAAATCCATTATGAGTGCATTATCGGTTTAATAGCAGTATAGTTTTAGTTGTAATTAAATAAAGAGTAGTCATAATGTTTCTAATATTTTAATAATTAAAAAAATATAGAAAGCCACAAAAACCTGTCACTATCTTCAACATCAATAAAAAAATATATACAAATTTGCATATTTTTCTTTCTTTTTTGAGAGAAAGAGCGAGTTAATCTATCCATTTAAATCATGTCTAATAGCATTACAAATAGATGAAAACATTATCTAACCAAATAGTTATAGAATACGAGTTAAAATAAAAACATGAATTGCCATATTTGCAAATCCACATATGCAAATTCAAATCCAACAATTTGTTTGATTGCAAATATGTCTTCTTAATCAAAATAGAATTTTCTAATAATATTTTGTAGAGTGACACTCTAAGATAAAAGCCTCAATACTAACTTCCCACCAAATGCATTCCTTTGAAAACTGCAATTGTTTTAGCTAGTCAAATCGACAAAAAATTATTAACTTCTTTAGCCAAATAGTAATAATATGTCCAGTTCTATGCCTAACAATCATCTCAAACTCTAATTACATTATCTATTATTATGGGCAATAGAAAGGGATAAGAGTACAAAGTCATATAGAACCAATTTAAGTAAAAGATTTTGAAATCTAATTTTGCACTTCTTTTATTTCCAAGCTATCATTTGCTAAAATTAAAACCATGGAAATAAACTACCTATTACGGATACAGGCTAGTCATTCAAAATGTTGAATGAAGAGATATAAAATATTATCTTCATATTCTAAATTGCTAGCCCCAACAATTATTTTACCCGTTATCCATCTTATCCAGTTTATAAGCACTTTTCACAATTAATAAACTTTATATAAATTAAAATATAATTACCTATCCATAAATTAAGAAATTCTGGTTAATTTTTAATTTAATAGGCATCATTTTTTTCTTCCTGATCGTCATTTACCTTGGATTTTCATTTATTAGATTTTTTTCTCCTCTACTGTAGTATTATCACCCTATTATCAAATAACAATTTTAATAAATAAAAAATTAGAATTAGAATGAATCTGCATAATGGTGTTATTTATTTTATGAGGGAAAAATAGTTACAATTCTTTCATTGTTAGCCTAAAAATTCTTCATGTAATCACCACCCGTCTTGTTGCCAGCCTTTTCCAAAAATAAAAAGATCAAAAAGTAGTTTCAGAATAAATAAAATATAAAAAACTAAAAAAATGTTTCTTTAGATTTGGAGAAAAATATTCACAGCATCACATACCTATTTTGGGCAGAAAAAAAAGTCAAATGAAGAAGAAATAGAGTGAGAAAAACAATAAGCAAATGTTGCTGATCAAGAAGCGAAAAATGACAAAAAAAATATCAAATAATATATACCAAAAATAGACATTAAAAATAGAAGATTATGAATCATAATTATTGGACTACAGAAGAAATGAAATATCAAACACATTCTTGATCTCTGATAATGAAATTATTCATTTAGTTAATTATGGACAAAAATGAAAGAAAATGCATCAACTAATCCAATAGAGAAAAAATAGAATAAATGATTAATTAGGATGATAGGGTAAAAACATGAAGTACAAAGTGGAAACTAAATAACAAATCTGCAGTGTACATGAAAATTTGTTTAATTATCTTTAATTAAAAAGGAGAAAGGAAATAAATTGAACACAAGAAAAAACAAAGCAAAATGAAGAAAAGAAAAGGAATGAGCCACGTGTCAAAATGAGAGGGATCCACTTGGGAATCATTGGAGTTGTTATAGTAACTCCACTTTCTTCTTATATAATAGGTAGACTAGAGAAACCGAGCTGTGCCGCCCTCCAAAAAATACTGATCATTGGAAAAGTATATATAACAATTTTAGTTGCAGAATAGGTACGTAATACCATAATTATCATTCATAGATAGCTGTCAACAATTTCAGTAGCAATTACACACCTTCCAGTACAATTAAGTCCTAAGTAGAGATACATTGGCATGCTAATAGTCTTTTTCAAAGTTCATTTTAGTTACATAATATCATATATTAGGATCCATTAACTTCCAGTCATACATATAATGTTAATGGATTCTAATATGATGGCCAAAAATAGCATGCTAGAAGTTTAGTAGCATACATGTTAAACAAAAGAGGACATGAAGCTGTGTGGCTGCTTCATTTTGCAGATTCACATGGTTTCTTGAGAGGGCTCATATGAGCAGATTTTGGAGATGCAGGCTTGTTGTCTTCAGGACCCTTTTTTGCAGCAATCGAGGGAACAGCTTCAATGGTTGTCTTCTCAGCAGAAGGTACATTAGTTCTGGAAATTGGAGCTTCAAAAGTTAAGCTTCTTTTTGCAGCAATGTTTGAAGAGGTTGGCTTATTTGCTCTATCTAATCGTTTCTTTCTCCATCTAAGAACTGCATTTTTTCTACAATCTTTTTTCCTCATCATTTGACCCGCATCAAACTGAGAAATCACAGTAGGAACATCATCCGAATTTTCTTTGATCATAGAGTCCATGACAAATAAAGAAGACTACTATCCAAGGCATTTTATATGGAAAAGATATTCATTCTCATCATGTGAAGGCTTTTACTCTTCATAACAGAAAGAAAACCTTTAACTACATCATGTATCTCACAATCATGTAAAAATGAAACAGATAGAAGTTAATATGCCCGAAGCTCAAGAATTTTTAACATGAGACACACAACCTGTAATATAATCAACAAAAGATAAAATCCAAATCATTTAGACGAAAAAAAGCACAAAATTTAGTTTCTTAGACAAACCTGAGAACTGAATATGCCAACTTGTTGGAGCAAAAGATGCACACCAAATAGAATAGCCAGCTTCAGTTGAAGAAACATGTCGACATTTTGTAAGTACGGGAAAAAAAAAATCAGTATAAGAAAAGGAAGAATAAAGATTCACAATGAAAAAGAAAATTGAAGAATTACAGTAGTAGTGCTAGACACCATTTTCATAACTCCATAAAATTTATTGTTTAATTATGATTTAGAAGTATAAAAATATGTTTTCAAGTAAAGTAAGTACATTGTGAGAAGAAAATCAACCAAATTAATAAATGATGGTCTTATAACTCTCATTATTGATCCGTTTACTATTTTGTTAAGTTTTACTGCTCGTGAAAACATAGTCAAATGATCTGAGCCTAAAACATTGTTTAGATAAGTTGTTTACTAATATTGTCATATAATGGTGAAAATCAGAAAAAAAAAAATTGATCCTATAAATTTATGAAGACATGTCTATCTGTGATAGAAGTGATAGTTTGCAGATTTAGAGACTCTGAGGTCAGGGCATTTATGAACCATTAATATATTCTTACTGACAATTTTAGTTTTTATTGTTGATAGGAAGTCAACGTGGCCATGGTCTCCTATATCCCTGTATATGGCTGAAGTTGCAGCTGTTTCCTAAGTTACTATAATACATGGCATCTACATGGAGGTTTAGTTAATTAATAAGCAGACTGATAAATCTGTTTTTTAAGGTGAGACCAAAGAAAAAGTGCAATGGAAAATAATTAAGTATACAAGTTCTTTATGGATCATAATCTTAAGTGACTGTAGTTTCTGCAGTAGTATTTTTTATTCATGATACATGTAGTTTTTGCACAATAACCTACTAAAATTTGATTTACATAAAATTTCTTAAAAGGGAATGAAAATTTGTCAACAAATATTGAATCTTGATTCAAAGATAGCGATAAAGAGACTAAATATCATATGTTATAAGAAAGGGAAAAAAGGACTATAATTAATGCATGATTGCCAATGATTTATTGAAGACTTGACCATTGTGCTTTTACTTTGATAGTATATGTAAAAAGAACTAAACAAATGCTATAAGTAACAACCTAATATGTTACTTCTTCAACAGTAGCAATCCAGCAGGTGAATAACCTTTTTTTGCTACCAAACTTGTTGTCCACAAAACATTGTAATCTGCTTGGTATTATAAAACACTAAAGAGTTTTCAAATTTTCTCTACTTGCGTGTCAATTTCTCTAGAAACATTCAATACTTTATCCAAGTAAATAAATGTTATCACCTTTTGATATTATGAGCATGATATTATGGACTAATACTTAATTCTTTATAGCAGCAATATTCCATGTATACTATATGATCTATGGCATGAAATGCATAGGATGAGTAAAATGACTTAAATCTAAAGTTGAGAAGCTACCTGAGAAGTAATTATTTTCTTTATCTTCAAGTTTATTTTTATCTTTTCATAAATTTTACATAGAGATGTGGACAAAAATCTTCTTTATCGACATATTGCAATCACTTACTAATAATCAAGCGAAAGCACCATCATTTTTTTCAGAAAAAAACAAAAGTATCAATTTCAATGTCTTAAATAAAGTCAAGAGATTGATATCAATGACAAGAAGTGAACTTTATCTAAACGAAACTGATAATCAAGATATCTAAAGCTTCTAAATTGATCGAAAATGAAAACTCAGAAAGCTAATTGAGCAGCTAACCCAAACACAACTGCAAAAGGAGCAAAAAAAGAATGCAAGCAATGCAAATTAAATAGGAAAAAGAAAAGAAGAATAAACATGATTAAGTGAAGTATTAGATTGAATTGTTCTGAATCCAAATTTTTCACAGTGGAGTATGGTGAAAGTTCAGTGATTGTTGATTGAGATAGGCTCATTGGTTGTCCGAAGAGGGAGAAGTAAAAGGAATCATAATTAAGGCTTTCGAGTTGGCTTTTGTTTTATAGATTTAATGTACCCTAAAAATTTACATAAAATGTTTCAATTTCTTTTGGATGGTCACAACATGATTTAACAAAAAGTTTACAGATCACAACATGATTTAATAAACCGATTAATATCTTATTCTAATATGTAATATTTGCCGAAATTTTTACATGAATAAACCAAGAGAAACATTTAGCCAAAATCTACTAATTTTAATATCTCTACCATATATGACTACACATATTTAGGAAAAAAAGATAGAATCTAATTTACATATGAAAAGGATCCTTACCAAAGCTAGAGGCAGAAGAAGCTCCCTTCCAAACACAAGGTTTTCGAAGAAAGAAATATCACCCTTTATACGGGCACTTCCCTTTCTTTTCCTTTTTAAAACCTAAAAACCTAAATTACTACTCACTTAATTTCTATCATATCAAATCTCTGAAAAATATGATTTAGAATTATGGTGTTCATGGGACAATTGGATGGCTACAAAATCAATTTCAATACAAATGAATGAAATCAAACGGCTGGGCATCTTCCTGGGAAAAAAATCCCTGAATGTTGGAGAAAAAGAAGACACCTAATTTCTGAGGGATTTCAAGCCTTCCATGCTTCCAAGTACAATAAGCATGTGAAGGAACCATCTATGCTACAGGAAGGGAAGAGTACTTGTTGGTACTTTCACCCGAAGAAGAAGAAAAGAAGAGATACTCCGTACCGTTGGTTTCTTGTTTGTCTTAAGTGTCTGCAATGAAATGGGCCATATAATAGAGTTTCCGTTGGTTCTATTGCAATGTAATGGGTCCCGCTGATTCTATTGCAATGTAATGGGCAATGTAATGCCTTGCTTGTTCCGTTGGTTTCTTGTATGTCTCTGGTCCATTGTTCCCCTCATTAAAAAATCCAACCAAGTGTCAAATAAGTAGCAAGCCACTTGTCAAAAAGGGAGCCTGTCACAGTGAACAACAATCTCTTTTATTATACACTTGTGATTCTCGGTGACATATTTTCTATGCCAATCCAATGCCATCTATAGTATTGTGCCAAGTGTTCTGTTATTATTTACACTTTAATTTTCAAATAATTCAAATTGATTTGGTTTAACACAAGTGTAAATAATAATAGGACACTTGGCGCAATACTATAGGTGGCATTGAATTGGCATAGAAAATATGTCACTGAGGATCTCAAGTGTTTATCATACTTGAGGGATATAAGGTAGAGGTTGATGTTTGTTATGGCGGACAAGACAGAGATAGAGATTTGAGAAGGGACCGTGTGTAGAAGAATGTTATACAAACCTAGAGAGAGCATTACAACGAACTAACTAAAGCAAAAGCAGAGGGGTTGGAGATGATCGGGTGATTTGAGAGAATACATACCTTAGAACCCTTGGATTTGGGTTGAGGGTTTTCTTCATTTTTTCTTTTGAAATCTTTCTTGTGGAGATCTTGTTGAACAATTTGTCCACTGAAGATATTTGCCCACTATTAACCTATTTAGATTTACTTTAGATCTTTTTTTTCTCAAGAGATTTTGGATTACAGATGAAGACTATATGATGATGAAGAAGAGATAGGAAAACTGATGAAGAAGAAGGATAGAAAGAGCGACGTGTAATGGAAAGAAAGAGAGGGTAGAGGAGTTTTATATGTGATGGGTAGGTCCGTCATAAATATTGTCTGAAAAAATAAGTTGAGAGCTTTATTCAAAACCTCCCAATTTGTTCCGAAATGGAATAAGTCCAATTTTTTAGAAATGATTCCAAAAACTGTATTCCAATAGACCCCTTTAATCAAGCAGCCCCTAAAACTCTCATTTTTGTTTTTCGGGTAAAAGCCTGAAAAGGCTGAAATCTTTTGAGTTCATCTGGCCCATTAACATAGACCAGCTAAAGCAACGAAGGAGAGATGTTCCACTTGTTGGATCAACAGAAAGTCACTTGGCGAAAAGAATGCAGAACACCTCACCCCCTTTCTTCTTATTTATATACAATATATATATATATATATATACAAGGTAGAGGTAGATGTTTGTCATGTCGGACAAGCTAAAGATGAAGATTTGAGAAGGGACCGTGTGTAGAAGAATGTCATACAAACCGAGAGAGCATGACAACGAACTAACTAAAGCAGAAGCAGATGGTTGTTGGAGGTGATCGGGTGATGGTGCCGCTGCCTCAAACTGCAGAAGTGCAAATGCCTTCCTTCACCCTGTACCCTGTACCCTGTACCTGTAGTGGTGGTGGTGGTGCTGCTACCTTGGCTCGGGGCTCTCTCCTGCATCACCAGCTTGATTGAATTCTACTGGTATCTGTTTGTTAGTGACTGTATCATATGCACGTCTGCCAAATCCCCTCTGTTACCGTATCACTGCCGGACTATTCTTTGCAAGTGCCTTCGTCTTCTTGTTAACTGCTACTATAGGTTAAGTACAAGTACTACTTAATTCTTCTCTCAGACTTTTTTTTCTCGTCTTTGGCTCTGCATCGTTTATACTAGTTATATTTTGAACATAAAAGCCAGCGGTTGTGTAGTAGTACTACTAGTTTATTAAAATTTTACAACATCGAGGCTGTTGGGAGTTCTTTTGAGCTGGAAGAAGAGGAAATATGTTTGGGATAATCAGTCACAAGTTGGCTGCCAGTACTGCTGGAGGATCTCCAGGACAGCCGGTTAGTTTGATTTGTATAACGTGGGCTCTCTCTCTCTCTCTCTTCTCTGTTGGCTCTTCACCATTTTTTTTTTCTTTTTCTTTTCAAGATTCTAAGAGCTGCGGTTTTAGGTATGATGAGCAACTACTCCACCGCGACTAAACAGGTACCTTGGGACTTTCTCCATCATCTATGATCAACTCGTTGTACAGTATACCTGCTACTCCTTTGCATTTCTTCTTCCATGGATGCACTGCGTAAGATACTCTTTATTTGATTCCTATAGCGATTCTCACTTACAAACATATTAATCCCTTTTTCTACTTTTTGGCTGCAAATTCCCCCCCCCCCCCCTCTTTTTTAAATCCTTGTACTTTGAATGAGGACTACAAACTTGTAAGTGCATCAAAGGTCCCGCTTTTTGTTCCTGTTTCTTCGTCGTTCTAATTTCTTCAGTTGCTCGGGTATAAATATTGTCCATTCTCCTTGAGTTACTATTTGGCTATTTGTGCGGTGCAGGAAAGAGTTAGTAGTTTATTAGTTTCTTGTGCATCACAATTGTGATAATTACCGTTAGTGCAGATAATGGTTAGAGAAGCTCTAAATTCTGCCCTAGATGAGGAAATGGCAGCTGATCCCACTGTATTTCTGATGGGGGAAGAGGTATATATGTGTATCAGAAGTGGTTATGTGTTAACTTAATGATAGTTGATCTTTTCAAGTCTCTGTTCTTATTCGCTTCCTCTGTGCTTCAGGTTGGTGAGTATGAAGGTGCCTACAAGGTTCGATTTGTTAACTCTCCACTTACTCCAGTTCTCTCTCTCTCACACAATATTTTATCCCACTGGATCTCAATCTCTGTCTGTTGTTTTAAAATAGCCAAGTCATCGAATCACTCGTAGCTTCCTGCCTGTTGCAGGTTTCGAAAGGACTCCTTCGCAAATATGGACCTCAAAGAGTTGTTGATACTCCAATTACCGAGGTTCCTTTTTCCATTCTTGGCTTCTGAATCAAAGTAAACAGCAATTTGACCCACAATTCTACACACTGCTGCAAGAGAATATGCTAATATATCAATCTTTTCTTTTTGTGATGATTCTGCATGCTAATATGTCTGTCTATTCTTCTTGTGATGATTCTCAATATCGGAAGGTTATTTTTTTTAGACATATGTTGTCAATTAGTAGTATTTCTACAACTGAGGCCCCAAGGAAAACCACTAAACGGAAGATTAAAAGGACCTTAACTTTATCATGAAGCATTCAAGATCGTCATTATCCAATTTGCAGGCTGGTTTTACTGGTATCGGAGTTGGTGCTTCATGTCACGGGCTTAGGCCTATTGTCGAGTTTATGACATTCAATTTTGCAATGCAGGTGCGGTTATGAAGTGGTGAAATTATTTACATTGAATATTTGATTAATATGCTACTTTTACAGGCACTCCGGTATCAAATACTTGCATTAACGAATTGAGTTTGATGCTTTAATTGCAAATGGGTTACCATGGAACTTTTTGATCAACACCTCAGTGCAAGCTTATTTTTGGATTGCAGGCAATTGATCATATTATTAATTCTGCTGCAAAAACGAACTACATGTCTGCTGGCAATATAAACGTCCCTATTGTTTTTAGAGGACCAAATGGCGCTGCTGCAGGGGTAGGTGCCCAGCATTCGCAGGTATTTGTGCTACCAAGTTGCTATCACCTATCAAAATCTTTTACAGTATGTTTGATCGACAAAAACATTTTGGAAAAAGTAGCATTACTCGTAGGTGGAGCCATTGGGGCTAAATCGTGTGCTAAGTTGAAAGCTGTTACACGGATAGAGCTAATGAAGCTCTCTATTTTTTGATGGTTGTCCTTGAAAACATGAAGTGCTACCACTGCGCGGTTTTTTGATTTCGCTAATATCTCAAAAAGCATGACGTAACGTGCATCTTAAAATCACTGTGTGAGAATGTATGACTGTCGTTTAATTAAAATGTGTTTTGTAGTGTTATGCGGCTTGGTACAGCTCGTGCCCTGGATTGAAAGTGTTAGCTCCATACTCATCTGAAGATGCTCGTGGGCTTCTGAAGACTGCAATCAGAGATCCTGATCCTGTTGTTTTTCTTGAAAATGAGTTGTTGTGAGTTAGACATTCACTACTACTACTACTGCCAGGATTATCATAGACTGGATATCACGTTTTGACATTCTTGTGCTGCTACATTTGAGCACATCAGGTATGGTGAATCTTTCCCTGTTTCAGACGAAGTTTTGGATTCCAGCTTCTGTCTCCCCATTGGCAAAGCTAAGGTCTGTTTCTAAATGGCCTATCATTTCGGTAGATGGTTGATATTTTCCTTATTTTCTAACTCATTAGTCGGATCGGAAATATTCCGTGTCAAACTAAATAGATTGAGAAAGAAGGAAAGGATGTCACAATTACAGCCTTCTCTAGAATGGTGGGCTACGCTCTGAAGGTCTGTGCTCTGACTTGCCTTGTACATATAATGCACATTTGCTCCTTCAGCTCTGGTGTTAGGAACTGAGAGAACGTGTTGATTGTTTAGGCTGCTGAAATTCTTGAGAAGGAAGACCTCGAGGCCGAGGTACGTCAGATAAATTAAAATCCAACTGAGATGCAAAAACTGGTTTCAGCATATAGATATTTATGCCTGC